GTTTCGGCACCTCGCCTGCGTTCTGGTCCCGAGTCAGTGTAGCTCCTGGCTCAGCGCACGCGCAGCGCGCATCCTCTTACGTGTCATTCGGGTCCCGAGTCGGATCCCCATTCACGCAGGTCAAGTGTGTGCGCGTCAGTCTTCTTGAGTTTGTGTGCGTTTGTGGCCTTCTTCTAGAACCACCTGCGTTGGTTCGTAATCGAGGCATACGTCTCATTCAAAACATGCCAAGTTGATAGCTCTAGATGTTCGTCCAATGAAATTATAGAAGAAATTGACCCACTTAGACATGAGGAGCTCGAAAGGATAGTCAGGAAACAAGACTTCCATTTTTCTATACAAAATATTTCAAATGAGCTTGATTTTGTATGAAATGATACTACCTGATAAAAGATGAGCTTGTTTAATAGTTTTGAATACCCTTGTGCAGGTACAAAGAACAATTTGAGTGTAAAACATTCGGAAATTGACCTAAAAAATTATCCCTTTTTGAACCTCAGGTCATTCATAACAAGAGCGTCCAGAAAGGTTATTCAAATGGGCGTAACTACTCGTAATGTCTTATCAGCTTGTGAGAGGGGGGTTATTCATGTGTTTGTAACACTTTATAAATAGAATGCTATGAAGTAGAGGTGTGCGAGTCCAGCATATTAAGATTCGAGTCCACACTCGAGTATCTGCTCTGGACTCGAGTAATTACTCGAGTAATTACTCGAGTCCCACGGCTCTTAAGACTCGAGTAATTACTCGAGTAATAGTATCCCGAGAGGGAATTTTAATGGGTTTCAAAAAAAGTTTTGTTGAATATCGGACAGAAAATAGAGTGTCTTCCTAAGAGGGAGCTTGAGTAGGCTTATGGCAATTCTAGACACATGCTGTTTATACCGTATTTATTTTATTTTATCTTAGGAAGTGGCTATTCTCACCCCAGGTGAGAATTAAAAATGTGATCAACCTCTTACCCCGGGTGAGACTTGCCAGCGTTGGCTATTCTCACCCGGTGTGAAACAAAACCGGTTTTTCCTAATTTCTGAATACTTCCTATAGGGGAGGATGATTAAATAGACAAACCCCTTTTTAAAAAAATGATATTATAACACAAAAGTAAAACTAATTTGGTCTACAAAGATGCTACGGCTATTTCACTTTTAGAATAGAGCCGAACTACCCTAATCGGCATTTTGTTTTGCCCAGAAGTTCTCGCTATATCAAGGCTACTCTCTCTCTCTGTCTCTCTCTCTCTCTCTCTGTCTCTCTGTCTCTCTCTCTCTCTCTCTCTCTCTCTCTCTCTCTCTCTCTCTCTCTCTCTTTCACATGCCCGCAGATAAAATTGCATGTTTTTAACACAAGAGAACTGGAACGTTTGTTTACACCACAGAATTCAATAGAAAAAAAGTGTAGATCTAGAATTCTGTGGTTTACACTGGGTATCACGGTAAACGCACACTGGAAGAGAATAGCCAAAAGGCTCGCTCTCTCACCCCGGGTGAGGGAGAAGCTTACAACTGTATAACAACTAAGCTAGAATAGAGGTGGTCTTTATCTTATTTTTTCTTTTTTTTTTTTTTTTAAATAATTCTCTGTTACAACAGTAAGAATAAAATGTACACAGACTGTAAACCTCAGACAGTGCACTTCATAAAAAAAAAGAAGTTTGATTGGTCATCGTGGGCTTTTAACAGTGGTTTCCTTTTTGCTTTTTTCTGGGATTTTTTTTCGTTTTTTTCCTTTGGGGGAAGGAATTTTTTTGTTTTTGTTGTTTCTTTTCCTTCAGTTTAAAAAATTGCTTATTAGAATGTTTCTTTTATCTATTCTTAACTTTTTTTAAAACCAAATTTTTCTCCTTTTTTGTTTTCCCCCTACAGACTCGAGTCTGGACTCGAGTCCTTACTCGAGTAAATTACTTGTGACTCGAGTCTGGACTCGCCGCATGTATTACTCGAGTACTCGAGTCTGGACTCGTTACTCGCACACCTCTACTATGAAGGATAGAGCGTTATTTTCATCATCAGTTAACACACTCCCGCGGTATTCATGGCGGCCTGCCCGGCGAGTCCGACGTAATCGGTTGCTGATAAGATACGCATCTGGGCACAGACGCAGGATAAGAGTTAAGAAACAGTTTGACAGGGAGATGTATCTCACTGAGCGCTATCAGAATATGCTCCGAAAAAAACAATTTTCGAAAAATTGTAGAATTCACAGTTTTATCGGGCAACCGACTATGTCGCATTTTAAGAAAGTGGAGAAAATGAAAGTTCAAAGTGTGAAAGTCTGTGTCTCATAGTGATTTTTAAGCGTTCTTTTACCTTACATAGCACAGCATGTAGTGAGGTTATCCATGGGATCATTTGCAGAGAAGATAGTTTGATTTTTAGATAATATTACAAGGGAAAAAACTTTTATTTTAAATTGCGACATATCACATCAGGTTTTTCATCTAGAGTCTTCATTTACCTTAGTATTGTCTATCCTCAGATACGCTGAGATGACAAGGGAGCTAACGTAGACACTCAGGACAGACAAGGAAAAGTATAGTGTGAATGGTTACGCCTTTGGGGCTGCCAAAACAAGAGAAGGAAAGACATTTTTAACTTAAAATATATTTCAAAATGGTCATTTTTGTGATCTTAGCACACTGATTCATCAAACGAATTGATTTAGATCTTGTCATGCTGGTTCTTCAAATGGATCAGTGAAATGACAATCATCGATTCTATACCTAGACAGTCCAGATCTGTTATCTTATTCTCAGCTGCAAAATGGAATTACCAACATTATTATCAACTGCAACCTGGCAAAAGTTTTATGAGCATTATGGAAAGTTTGCTAATAGAAGAATTCGGAAGGACACTGGTCAGTGGAGAGAGATGAGTCCTGCAGGTGGTGGGATGTCCTCTCTGTTTTTGTGGGTCGGCAGAGCCCTGGCTCCACAGCTGTTTCGTTCATCAGGGATCTGCCAAGAAGACATGCAGAAAATGGATAGTTTTGTTTTTCAGTTAGAACGAGATTCTTTACTTGAAATTTACAACATGTATATACATTTCATGTCAGAATCTTCATGTCGTCAAAAAGCCTCTGACAGTGGCAGAGTGGTGGATGATGTGAATGTTGCATTGCCTCAGAATGAGGACAGGCTGGGTGTGGCGGTGGAAGAGCCCAAGGAGGGGATTACAACATCCAAGATGGCAGAGCTGTCCGTTGATGATGAGGAAGTCAATATGGAAGATCAGCAAGCATGGAAAACAAGTGCTAATAAGAAAAGAAAAAATAAGCTTCAAAGAAAAGACCACCAAACAAGACGGATGGAAATGGGTGTAAAATTTGGTGCTGAAAGTGAGAGTCAGTCGATGAATGATGTAGCAGAATCTTCTGACATCCTGCCAAGGGGCAGTGTTGAAGATGTTAGAGAGGTGACCACTGAGGTGAACCTGAGAGATCTAAATGTTAATGAAGAGAAGGGTACAGCACGTGGCAGTGATGTAGAAATGAACTCATATGCAGACAGTGGAGAGGATCATGTTACGGAAGAGGGGACTGCTGGAATGCCACTCAAACACTCAAGCAAGAGCAAAAACTCTGAGAATGAAAACTTAAATGACACATCATCTGATGGCAGAACAGAAGCCCCAGAAAACGATGGAGGCGCAGCCTTGAAGACTAAGAAAAAAGGTAGAAAGTTGAAGAAAGCAAAACGGGTCATCGTGAGAACTGCTTCACAAGGAACTTTGTCAGAGACGGTGACCGAGGATGTAGATGGGAACGTCCCAATTTTGTGTGCAGCATGCAAAAAAACCTTTTCCAGGTCGAGAGATCTGGTGGTCCATTGGAGAGAAACTCATGAGGAAGAGGAGGAGGATAAGGAAAAAACCCCCAAAGCTTTTCTGTGCAAGGAGTGTGGCAAGTCGTTCCGCGGGTTTTACAAGTTGCGGTTACACTATAGAATCCACACAGGGTCCCGCCCGCACAGCTGTGAAGTTTGCGGGAAAAAGTTTCGTTTGATCAAAGGCTTGGAGGTTCATCGGCGCAGTCATTCCAAAGAAAAGCCATTCAAATGTGACCTGTGTCCCGCCAGTTTCTCTGACAACAAGGGACTTAACTGCCACAAACGCTGGCACAAGGGAGAGAAAACTCATGTGTGTGAGATATGTGGACAGCAGTTTTCTAACTCTACGAATCTTAGCGTCCACCTACGCATGCACTCAGGGGAGAAGCCATACAAGTGTGAGCTGTGTGATATGTCTTTCACGCAGCGCTCCACAATGAAGGCACATGTCAGGTAAATCTTTTACTCTCTCACCTACACAACCCCCCCCACCACCCCCCACGCATCATTCACTTACTTCTCAATGTACCAGCATTATATGTGGATGGTTGGAGAGCGCAACTGCTAGTTTCTGCTTCTTTTCTGTCCCTCTGTTGTTTGTTTCCATCTTTTTTCTTTCTTTTTCCCAGTTTAGATGTCCTTCTTCTTATTGTAGTTTTCAATGTCAAAAGCAACGTAATTGTAATAGAATTGTTTTCAATAAGTTCATAAGCACTACATTACTAGGACTTTGTAGTGATCATAATTTTCCATTAGCAACCATCATAATTGTCAGTTTGAGAGAATAAAGTCTGTCTTGATGTGCAACGTTTCAGTTCTCATTTACCTGTTTTTCTGAGATGTTATGAAATACTGGATACTGGGCAGTTTTTTTGAGGTATATGTTAGGGGGATCTTGAATTCGCCCCTCGATCAAAAAATAGGACACCAGTCGGAGAAGCTGAAGCTGTTCGTGAACTCGCACCCCCCCCCCCCCCATGGATCCATATAAGTAAATGAGGCAGTCGCATAGAAATCGAGTACTTGCTACTATTGCAGCTGCACTGCATTGACGCATTGTGTGACCTAGAACAGACATCCTCTCTGCTCCAGACCATGGCATAGACTGAGCAGCCCCCTCTTCCCCCCCCCCCCCCCACACACACACACTTTTTTCTTTTCTTGAATGAAGCTTACATTACTGTTATGATGTCACTGAGCTTGAACCGATTTTTGTGTGTGTGCACTTGATTCAAGTTTTGGGCGGTTTATCGATCACTGATGTCTTGTGTATTGTGTACACCTGCCGTGTGTGTGTGGATTAAATATCCAACTTAAAATGATAAGTATATACCCCTCTTTGAAATCCTAATCTTACCTCCTAATGGTGAGCAGGGATAACTATAACATTGTACTTCAAATTAAGAACACACACACACACCCACACGCAATGCTCAGAGATATGAATGATTATTTACCAGTTTCGATACCCTATTTCTGTCATTTAAAAAAATATTCTATTAAAAAAGAGGGGTGAGTTAAGGTTCAAACTTTCCGCATGTAGGGCTGTGACGTCATGGGGGGGGTGAATTGCATTGCATCTGTCTGTTACCCCCACCCCCTCACAAAACTGATTAATCTGCAACATTATTTTTGCCTTCAAAGTAGATGGACGGTGAGTGAATATAGAAAATAGAACTTTTCTCTACTAAACAGTAATTGTCTTGATCGTGTTTCTTTTTTTAAAATAGTATATTTGGAAAGGGTGAAGATGTTATCATGATGATAAACCTTGCATAGCATAGAAAAGAAATAACTGTCTCTGAAAGTTTCTTTCTTTTCTCCCTTTCCTCCTATTTTATTGTTCTTCCATAATTTTGTTCATAATGCCGTTATTTGTCTTTGTGACACGTAAGATGTAAAAAATTACTGTGGGTTTACTGTCTTTGGGTTTTGTTTTTGTGACCAGGGTTCACAAGGGAGACAAACCTTACAAATGTGAGCTGTGCGACTGGTCTTTTGTGGCTAAAACCCACTTGACCACGCACATGCGCACCCACACCCAGGAGCGGCCCTACAAGTGCTCACAATGCTCATTCACGGGCCCCACTCGCCACAGCGTGCGGACACATGAGGTGACCCACTCGGCCAGCAAGCCCTTTGCCTGCCCGCAGTGCCACATGACGTTCAAGCGAAAGTCACACCTGCGGGCCCACTGCTTAACTCACAAGAAATACAGTGAGCTGCATCGCGACACGCACCACGCCAGTGTCCCCCCGGAAACCCCCCTAGACAAACAGGAGACAAGCCATGACCCTCAAACTGTGATTTCTGGCGAGGCAACTCCGGAGCAAAAAGTCCCGCCTGAGTCCCTCCACACATCTGACCGCAGCAAACAGATAGGTCGGGACCCAGTCAAAACCGTTGTTCCACAGACAAATGTTCCGTCAATCACATCCTTGTTGCTTTCGAAACCACCCGAGGTAGGGCTCAGTACTCACGGTGAACATGTGGAAACCCGTCCTGGTGGATGGGAGCAGGAACAGGGTGATTCCCCACAGCACCATGGCCGTCACAAGTTTGACAAGCGCCATCGTCATCGTCGTCATCATCATCGTCGTCATCATCATCGTCGTCAGCATCATGATGATCAGGAGCAACAGCAACAGGCGGGCAGCAACGTAGAGCAGCAGCCTTATCAGTACAGTCAGCCTCATCAGACGCAGCAATATCAGCAACAACAGCTACTGCAACACCAGCAACAGCAACATCATCATCAGCAGCAGCAGCAACAGCAACATCAGCAGCAGCAGCAAGAGCTGCAACAGCAACATCAGCAGCAGCAAGAGCTACAGCAGCAGCAGCAGCAAGAGCTACATCAGCAGCAGCAAGAGCTACATCAGCAACATCAGACACATCAGCAGCAGCAAGAGCTACATCAGCAACATCAGACACATCAGCAGCAGCAAGAGCTGCATCAGCAACAGCAAAAGTTACATCAGCAACATCAGACACATCAGCAGCAGCAAGAGCTGCATCAGCAACAGCAGCAAGCGCTGCATCAGCAACAGCAACACCAGCAGCAGCAAGAGCTACATCAGCAGCAGCAAGAGCTACATCAGCAACAGCAAGAGCTACATCAGCAACAGCAGCAGCAGCATGAACATCAGAGCTACCACTCCTGGGTCCCCAGCGAGGTGGGTTCTGAAGGTACATTACCCTCCCAAGTGCCTGTGCCTCAGAGCGACTCCCCTCCCCACCCAGTCCCACTCCCACACCCACTCCCACACCCACTCCCACTCCCACATCCACACTCACAACCACACCCACATCAGGGAGAGGGGTACGGCTACAGTCCAGAGCTCCTGGAACATCCGCATGTTCTCCCACCTCACCAGCGACGGCTCAGGGAGCTTGGAGAACTTTCTTTTCAAAACACTGAGCAGTTGTCGGAGACGGCAAACCAACTACAGTCACACCTACAACAACATCAACAACAGCCGCTGCAGCAACAACAATATTCCCTGATGTTGTCATCGTCGAAACATCGGATCCGACTGGAAGAACCGCCGCAACACGAGTCGCCAGACTATCGGCACGGCTATCACTCGTCGCTGACCGCAGGAGAATCACGGCACTGGTATTCCACAGTGAAACCGTCTGAGGGCGTTGATGATGTGACAGTCTCGCAGCAAAAACGCAGCGAGCGAGAACTGTCTCTCCGTCACGATCGTCTCGTCTCTGAGACAGTTCAACATCTACAGCATCAGCACCAGCGGCACAATTCTTTGCTCCAACTGCCGGAGTCAGAGCACCTCCGTGAACCGGAGCAGCTGACACAGAGACATTTCAGAGATGTTTCTTATCAACACGATAGTCGCGTATCTTCTGAGATGATGAGAGAGTCACAGATTCAACAAAAGCAACAAAAACAAGAGGAACAGCAGTCTTCTGTCATTCCTTCATCAGAGAAACACTCACAGTTTGGACAGCTACACGGTCAGTCCCAGTTTTATGAATCTGTGCCAGCCAAAAGTGATGGTCACCTTCCTCCTCCTCCTCCTCATCATCATCTCAGTCGTCGTCATCCTCCCCCTCACAGCAAACAGCTACATCATCACCATCATCAGCCTCAGTTTGACCACCATCAGCGTGCGGAGGATCGCACCTACCCCCGTCAGCAGCAGCTCTCGCTGGAAGTCCAGCAGTCTCTATCTCTGCACAGAGAGCACGGCTACTTGGAGCACGGATCCTCCAAAGAACAGAGTCAGTATCAACAACAACAACAGTGGCAGTTAGACAGAATCAATTTGCCAGATGATTATAATTATCGTCGTGTTTATCAACGGGATTATACTGATCTCAGGACTGTGGAACATTCTAGTCTAGACAGACCTCTAGAACATTCTAGTCTAGTCAGACTTTTGGAACATTCTAGTCTAGACAGACTAGAACATTCTAGTCTAGACAAACCTCTAGAACGTTCTAGTCTAGAACGTTCTAGTCAAGACAGACCTCTAGAACATTCTAGTTTAGTCAGACTTTTGGAACATTCTAGTCTAGACAGACTAGAACATTCTAGTCTAGACAAACCTCTAGAACGTTCTAGTCTAGAACGTTCTAGTCAAGACAGACCTCTAGAACATTCTAGTCTAGTCAGACTTTTGGAACATTCTAGTCTAGACAGACTAGAACATTCTAGTCTAGACAAACCTCTAGAACGTTCTAGTCTAAACAGACCTTTAGAACGTTCTAGTCTAGTCAGACTTTTGGAACATTCTACTCTAGACAGACCTCTAGAACATTCTATTCTAGACAGACAAGAGCGTTATAGTCAAGACAGACCTCTAGAAAATTCTAGTTTAGACAGACTTTTGGAACATTCTAATCGAGACAGACGTGTGGAACGTTCTAGTCTAGACAGACGTGTGGAACGTTCTAGTCTAACTGTTGGTCTAGCAGAGTTACCAGAGACTGAAGCTAGAAAGGCTTACAGCCCATCCCAGCCTCACCATTTCCACCACCGCATTGATGTTCAGGAAGCACAACCACAGCGGGACTTTCATGAACTGGTGCCAGCCACAACTAGTACCCCCCACCCCCATCATCATCACTACCGTCAGAGTTATCATCACGACCATCATCATCAACGGCCCAGTAGTGAGCAGCGCCACAGGGAAGAGAAAAGCCATGACAAATTCCCATCGGAGAAGAGTTATAGACATGTTTCTCTTACTCCTTCTCTCCCTCCTCCCTTACCTTCTTACCGTCATCATGACATTCATCATCATCATCAGCGTCCTCATCACCCCCAACGACTTGATGACCCTCCGCAACAACATTTTTACCAGCTTCTCCAGCCCGCACATGAGGAAGCCCAACGACAACCACAACAAGGTCATCAACATCTGCAACATCCTTCTCAGCAGCAGCAGTTTCACCCACATCTGCGGGATGAACTAGACGACCATTACCATGGGTCCCCGCATCATGTCATACACTCGCAGCATCTCCCGCGTGGTCATGTGACTGACTCGGCTCCTGAGGGCTACGGTCAGGGTATCGGGGACGATGGTGGACGACCTTTGGAGTCGCGGCGCTACCACCAGCTGACAGCTGTCGACCTTGGCCCAGCTCAAGGTTATCTTGGAGAGCCACAGCCAAAGCCAGGGGTAGCATCAGGCACGGATGTAGACGTTGATCCTTACTATCTTGTTCCTCTGTAGGGAGGTTGGGTGTCCGGTTTCCGTGGTGCAGCAGCTCGGTGTCTCGCCGTTGCATGAGTAGGGAGAAATACTGTCAAACCTCATTGTACCCGGTACTGTCTACTTTGGGACAAGCAAAAAGTTGGGCGCACAGGGGGGCTAACGATATAAAGGGATAGCACCGATTGCCATCTTGGCTTGTGGTAGTAGGCTACTAGATTGATAGAGACGAGAGACAAAAGAGGTCAGTCTTGACTCATCTAGATCTGTCTTGCGTGATTGACATGCACAGGAAAAAAAATAGGAAGCAACACATTACAATTACTGCTTCAGATAAACTTTACGTAAATAAATTGAAAGAAGGTAGGCTATATACTTGTCAAGGACTCTGTAGACGTATCCTTTTTTTTTTTTTTAAACAACCCTATGCTCGTCAGTCCTTGGGCCGCCTCAGACCTGTCAAGTAGTCTTGAGCATGAGTCCTCACAACAAAAGCCTCACAGGCGCCCACCTACCTTTGAGTCATTGGGCTTATATCTGGTGATTCCTCTTTGAAGTTTCTCCTGGTGATTTTGAAATTTAATTCTAATGTTTTTAAAATACAAACATGTATTGGCTGAAACTTGAAAATTATAGTATTTTCTTAATCAGCTCTAATTAAGAGAAAATCGACAACATGTGCTAAAAATAGGCTGAGCTCACAGTTCCGTGTTTGGGAAAAGACATTAATACAGCTGGCGTGTGTAGCTTGTACCTCAGATGCCAATTAGTTGGTGGTATAGCGAGGCAAATTTGCATTAGTTTGATAAGGACCGTACAACTCAGACTGTTGGCAGATGGCAGGGTGAAGGTGCAAATACTATTACTATGATATCGGCGTTTCTTTTTGTACATTTGCAAAACCTGCAGGTAAGCGGGGATGACAGTATAACTGGGTGCGATATAACGAGGTTTGGACTGTAGTTATCAAGTATCTTGGTTTTTCTGCTGGGATGTTGTATCCCTCTACCAGTCCAGGGTGGCCCTAACAGGTAGGGTTGGAAGCCTGCTTCCTAAATTATCTAAATTGTGCTGATGGGGATGTAAAAACACCTACTTTTTAAAAAATGAAAATTTGATTTTTTAAGATGTACCGGAAGAGACTGTGTGAAATATGGTTTGTAGAAGAAATACATTGTCTCCAAGGTTTAAGCATTTAAGTTTTTTCCTTCAGCTCCCGAGTGGGAACACTTTTAACTGCCACAATGTTTTGTCAAGTAACATGTGGTTTTTATAAATATGTACTATTACGAGTCTGATTTGACTTTTACCATTTGCCCCTTTCTTTAGCCTCATCACAATTCATATATCTCGTCTCGGAACTTCACATTTTTTTCAAGCCACGGGAAAAAAAAGGAAAACTAAGAAAGCTCTGTTGACACACCATTGGCCAACACACAACTGTACAATCCTGGTGAAATTACAAACAAATACAATGTTTTCTTTGTTCAACCTTTGACCTGTAAACACAATCGTACTATATTTTAATCCTGGTGAAATTATAAACAAAAAAACCCCACAAAGTTTTCTTTGTTCTACCTTTGACCTGTGATACATGTACTCCACACAAGGTGTAGAAAGTGTTTGTGCTAGAGTGTGAGATGTGTTGGAGAGTGCCGCTGGAGGCTCTTGTTTTTTTGCCTAACCTTGATTGTTTGAGTTTACCTGTGCCTAGATTTAGTTTAGATTGTTCCAGTTTACCTGTACCTAGATTGTTCCAAGTTACCTGTACCTAGATTGTTCAAGTTTACCTGTACCCTGATTGTACAAATGTACCAAGTCACCTGTACCTCTAGATTGTCCAAGTTTACCTGTACCTTGATTGTTCAAGTTTACCTGTATCTTGATTGTTCAAGTTTACCTGTACTGGTTACCTCAACTTGGCTCCCAGCAGAAACTGTCATCACATGCGTGTGCTTCATATTACTGGAAACTAATGATAACAGTCGAGATTGTGTTTTATACGAAACAGTACGGAGACTTTGTTAGTCCATGTAGGGAGATTTTTACAACAGCATGCGCCACAACATTTAGTTGGCTTTAGTTGACAGTGGGTTGTCAGCACAGCTCATGTATATATATATATATCACCTTCTTGTTTTCTTTTCCTACAATGGAACGGCAGGACACACTCAGGATTTGTTGTTTGCTCGCTTGTTCAGATTTTCATGAAGCCATTTTAGCTTTCAGTACAACAACGGTTGTGCAATAATATTTTACGGGTATCTGCACTCTATATATATAATAAAAGTATTAGTATTTTAATTATACATTTTATTAAAATTTTATACATGTTTATTCATTTGTATCATTTTCCTGTTTACAGCAATTTTATTGTACAAAGTTATTATTAGCTTTTCTTACGGAAACAAGCGTTTTGGTTTTCTATAATATTATATGTACCTTGGCGTCCATTCAAAATAAACTTGCCAATTCAAAAAAATTTTTTTTCTGTTCTATCCATATCATGGGTGGTTGGCACGTGCTGTGGTGTGGTTTTCTCCTTCTTTCGTATCAAATGTCTGTTGTCCTTATCTCTCTTCCTTTTCTTTGTACATGTATGTGGTACTCTCCATAACACCTCTGATTGTGGCGTCTGTGGCCTAGTGGTTAAGCTACCGGACTCGTAATCGTGAGGCTACGGGTTCGGAGGTTCAAGCCACGGGCCCGACATTGTGTCCTTGGAAAAGGCCCTTTACACAAATTTTCCTCACTGGGAATGGGTAGTCGGCCATAGACAGCGAAAGATCTTGTCAGTTTGTTAGTGTTTTAGCATCTATAAATGGCTGCTTGCACTGTATGCTTCCAAGGAAGTTGAGGTTGCTTCAGAATGCTTTCAGGTCTGCTGGGGTAATAGTATAGATTGTGACGCACATAGAGCGTGCTGTTGAGCAGGGATTTGCGCTCTCCAAATCCAGTCTATTAGTATTATTATTATTTTCTGCACTTATTTTGTATGACCTGCCTGTCTGTGTTGCAAGTAGGCTACTGTAAAACTTTTACAAAAACTTTTACCAACATCCACCGTCTGGTTGGTGGAAATGCTGCTGACCTAGTTTTCATCATGCTGGACTGTGGTGCGGATGACCCAGGTGCCAAACCCCAACCGGCCATTGTTGACCTTGGATTGTTTGGGCAGTTTCCTAGTTATCCACTCCCTTGGATTTCCTGTCAGAGATGGATGTTGATCAGGAGGTCCGGCCGCTTGAATAATCTCAGTGTTGAAAGTTTGGTCCTATCCAAGGAGCAAAAGTGTTGAAAGATTGGTCTCATCCAAGGAGTAAAAGTGTTGAAAGTTAGGTTGGTCCTATTAAAGGAGCAAAAGTGTTGAAAAGTTGGTCCCATCCAAAGAGCAAAAGTGTTGAAAGATTGGTCTCATCCAAGGAGTAAAAGTGTTGAAAGTTAGGTTGATCCTATTTAAAGGAGCAAAAGTGTTGAAAAGTTGGTCCCATCTAATAAACAGCTTCCCTGTGGTCAGTAGGCGTGTCCTCCATAACCAATGCTCTGACTCTATTTTCATGGGAAATCTCCAGGCAGGGAACAGACATACCCAGAGTCTGTATGACCTTACAGCAATAGCAGCAAACCACCAAAAAATAATGTAATATATAATTACAGTCAAGAGTTTACTCTTTTAGAAATTAGAAAAAATGTTAGAGTAGCGAAGTAATCAAGTACAAGTAAATAAATGTCCTTCAAGGCTGAGTGAGAAGCTAGCCGAGACAAGAATGGAACCGTCCACCCCTTGTGGTTGGGTTGAGTGCAGTGTGGCGCCAGCACTGACCGCCCCAGTGCACACTATTCTTCACGGTGGACGTGAGTGCTGTGCGCTGTACTGTACGGCCAGTTGCTCACAAAGTTTTCTTGGCGCCTCGGCCTCTAGAGTTTCTCTGGTTTTGCTGTTTTTCTCACTGGGTGGTTGACCAACCGTTGATGGTTGACCAACCGTTGATGGTTGCTCGGATGGGATTGCCTCCTTCTTTCATATCCAAACATCTAATTCGGTAATAATTGCATTTTTGTACAGCACCCGCTCTACAGTATGCTCTATGCACTCAACAACTATTATTACCCCCAGCAGACCCTAGAACACTTTGAATCAGAAACATTCTTGGCTTGCCAAAAAGCATACAGTGCAAGCTGCGGATTTCACATGATAAAACACTGACAAGATTTTATGCTTTCTTCAGCCGGGTTCCCATTCCCACTTGGGTGAAGTGAGGAAAATTTGTGTAAAGTGCCTTTCCCAAGGACATTATGTATTACAGTTGCTGAGAGCCTAACCACTAGGCCACCGATGCCACGATCTATCGTCCTGATCTCGCCTCCCTCTTTCTTCTGATATTTTTCCAGCATATTGTCATGCATTCACCGGAGACTGGTGACAATGACATTTCTATACAGACTTCAACATAAGTTAAGGACCACTTGCAAACACTCTGAGTGGTCTTCTTGGGTCGACCTGCACATGGGTATTCTTGGACTGATCCAGTGGCTTAATGGCGCTTCCTCAAGCGGACAATGACAGAGTGTGACAGTGGGTGGTTGGCAGGTGCTCTGGTGCGGTTTGCTTCTTCTTTCCTATCAAACATCTATCGTCTTTATCTCCCCTCCTTCTTTTTTATGTTTGTTACTCTCTTGTAACACCTCCAATCTTCTGGCGCTCATATGACCTTATGCAGTTGGGAGTGCCGTAAAACCTCTACCAAAACTAAACTAAGAGTGTGACACTGGAAGCCTTCTGGCAACTTCTCAGGCTCCAACTCTGGCACGATCAGTCTCTCAGCTTTCGTCTTGGAGACATGTCGATGCGAAACTGGATTTTGGGCAAACGGCGGCTTATATTGCCACCAAAGTGAGCACAGTTCGAGACCGTACGTTCATTTATGACATGCACCAGAAATTTTAACTGAGGAATGTCCGTCATGTCCCACACAAGTTGATAAAAAACTGCAAATTTGGCTAAAATTCCTCCGAGGATT